ACTTTCTCCAATTTAAGTCCCCTGATCTCCATAACTGTATGTTGTAAATAGATCTAGCTGGAATAGGGTGATCTACGCCTGAAGGTATGTTCTCCCATCCTTTTCCTAGGCCAGGTTCACACCGCATAGAAAAATAGAAAAACTCTGCCTTTCTACTTCATGAAACCCTGTCAACCTAAAGGAAAACAGCTAGGAGAAAGGACACTCATAATCCCTGCTAAAAATGTGGTACTGGCCACAATCTGTTAACACACAGTGTGTCTGAAATAGACACAGAAGGCTTTATAGAAATTGATTGTGAACTGAACCACACTCAGTACCAATTTCCTCTGTAAAATGGGGACTCTCAGAGATTTGGGGGGAGGGCTGTATGAGATAATGGTGAGGAAAGCCGCTTACACTGTGGCTGGCACACAGGCACCACCAAAAGCAACCTTCCTCTTAAGACACCTTTAATTGGAAGACCCTCAAACTCGAGTGCTCAAAGCTAAATTCATGATTCTTACTCCCCAATCTACCCCTCTTTCTGGAATCCTCTCTTGGCTGAGATCGTCACTTGTTAAGTCAACACTCAACTTCATGATCTTTGGATTCAACTTTGATTCTTCCCTGTTGCTTACAGCTCATTAAATCAATTCTACCTCTTAAGCCTCTAATCTGTTTCCCCCTGCTTGAGCGTGGGCCCTCGTCTCTTGCTTGGACTACTGCCATAGCTTCCTAACTCAGATCCCCGCCGTACTCAGCTATGAGCAAAGGGCAACAGAACTATACCGGTGGAGTTTCTGCAAAACACAGTATCACACATCATTCTTCTGGACATTCTGATTCAAGTCAATCCAGGCAACTGTGTCTTTAGAAATGCTACATGTGGGTCTGATGTGCATCCTGGTTGAGAAACACCTAGGATGTGTCAGGTTAAGAGAGAGTTCTGGAGTCCAAATGCTAGGGTTTCTGTGGGTCCATGGTCAAGGTCTTATTCTCGTTACACCTGTTTTCCCATTTACAATATGAATGTAAGAATGGAATCGTCTAATAGGGTTACTATGAGGAATATATGTATTTCTATGTGTACAGTGCTTAGAGAGTGATGTTACCCCAATGTTAACTATTCTTTCTAAATTATAGCTCCAAATGCATAACACATTTACAAATAATCACTTCTCCCTATTAGTAAGATCAGTTCCAAAACCCTTGGCGTGGCACTGGAAGCTCTTCACAGCCGGCCCTCAATTTATTTTTCAAGCCTCCTATCCTCCCCTTTTCTCAGTATCACCCGCTAGAATGAATGCATTGCTGATCTCCCTACAGTAGGGGTCTTTCCAGGCCTCCAAGCCTGTAAAAGGCTATTCCTTCTGTGTGGAATTCTCCCACCCCCAAAGCTGCACCTGTGTGTTCCTATTTCTTCTAAACAGGTCCCCTCTTCTTATTCCCAGTTCACGTCTTCACCAGTTCTCCTCTGGATCGCTGCAACCGCCTCTACACGTGAGCTACCTGCCTCCAGGTTTGCTACCTGTAAGTTACCATTCATTGCATCACAAGAGTGCTCTTGGCAAATCTGTTCACATCTCCCTGTTTGAGATCCTCGATACTCCTCCCCGTCCTGTAAGTGAACTACAGACTCCCTAGTATTACGTATTGGGTTGACCTGCATCTTTTGCTCCCTTTGCCTTCCTCTCCAGTCCTTTCACACAGACATCGACATCCTGCATGTGAAACACACAAGCCCTATGCTCTTTGGCTTCTGAACGAGCTGTTCCCTCTGCCTCTTTACCCTTCATTAGATTACACTTTATTTTTCAAGACATACATAGCTAAGGCCTCATGTCTTCTCAGATGTCTTCTTTGACCCCATTCCCTCTGCAACCTCTATCACAAAACCTGCTGTATCACACAGCCATGGTTTATCTTTCCAGAGAAACTCCTGGAAGTTGAGGACTGTGATTTTCAACAATCTCTAATAACAAAGCGCACAAGAAACGCATTTAAATGAAAACTCCACTTTTAAGTTTTCTTTCTACCTCAACAGGAAGAATCAAACTATTCTCCATGTTTCTACTCTTTTTTTTTTAAAATTCACCAAATCCTGTTAATTCTACCTTCTAAATCTTTCAAATTCATCTGCCTCATCTCCACTGCCATTCCCCCTAGTTGAGCCATCATGCCCCACTGAAAGATACTGATAGGGCCTCTGAAAAAATGACACTGTCCTCAGTCCCTACCACCACACTGGCCCTGACATGTTGAATGAACTGCTTGGTTCAAGTTTCACCGGTGGTCTTCCTGGTGCTGCCCCCCAGCCTCCCTGCAGACCACTCTCCACACGCAATCTGAGGGATACTTCAGTTTCTGGTCACTCTGTGCTTCACTACAACTGCCTGGGGTCCACCTGCAAGGTTATCTAGTCCACTCTTAACAGCTGCAACATGCTGTCCAATGTGCTGCTGCCCACCAAATGAGCTTAATTTCAAAGACCAAACTATTCATTTTTATTACCTAGATCTCAAATCGCTTTTCATTCATGCTTATTTTCCATTACTCTCAAATGTTTACTATATAATTGCATGACCCGCTTTAGATCATACTTTGTTTTCATGCGCTAATTTCTCTGCTCACTGCATCTGCTCTACCTCATAGTGGTTTGTTTTCTCAAAGTGCTTTGTAATTTTTCACATTGTATACCCATTTTCTTTGGGAGTCCTGAGAGCCCGAGGTAATAAAACCGAGCCCTTTGAACGGAATTTCTTTTGCTTTTACCTAAGTACTAATGGTTTCAATGGACTTGGATCAGTTTTTATGTTAATTTCTCAGAGTATTCCTGAATTATGCTGGTAGTGTGTTATTTGGGCCTAAGTCCCTGAGTGATTTTTGTCCTACTCAGGGGCATGGAGGTCTACACTTCTTGGTGTTTTTGCTTGATCAGCAGACAGATTTTCATGGAAGGAGTAGCTCTTCAAGGCACCAGGCTGGCAGATGGTTCAAGTCCATGTCCCTCCCCCAGCCCCACCAGTCCCCCAATTCCTGTCTCCTTGTTGCAGAACAGGTATTGTACCGCAAACTCCAGAAGCCTTTATTTTGGTATGAAATCTCCTTGGGCCGTGGTGGAGTCACAAGGTGTTTACTCTTCTGGCTTTTATTTCTGGAACCTATACATGTACTTTAAGTTTGGGGGCAGGGAAGCAGGTGAGCGGAAGCATTTAAAAATGGGCAGGAGCCACGTCCGGGTTAATTCCACCTGCAATACTGCAGTGAGCGCCGAGTGGGGAGCTTTCTCACACACAGAATCAGCCAACAGCTTCACACTGTCCACAGGATAAAATGCAAACTCCTTACGATTTGATTCCCAAGGGCCTTTAAGACCTGGCCCCTGCCTGCCTCTCTTCTCCCATCACTGCCACTCCCACTGAAGTCACTGCTCGAATCTCCTGCTTCGTCTGTTTTCCATGCCCTCACTGGGCATTCACGATGCTGCTGACTCGGCCTGAAATACTCTATTCTACTCCCTTTACTTGGTTAGCTCTATCCATGCCAGGGATGCCTTCCCTGGTGCTCCCAGATGGTTTCCACAGGAACTTGTACCTCCCCCCGCATCACAGCACACATGTATAGCTCCTCTTTGTGTGGTAAGAATCATTCTTCGTGCTGTTTAATTCACCAGACTATAAAGCTCCGAGGGCAGGGCCATACAGCACGCAGCTCAACACCTGTCACACAACGGGTACCCAGGCACAGACCACAGTGAGTCTTTTTAAGTCTTTCTCCAGAAGGACAGATCCAATGTCTTATTAATTCTTATTTATTCATTCGTCCAACAAACTGTGTGCTCGACAAATGAATAAATAAGGAAAAAACAATTACTGTTTGGATCGTGATTAAAACAGAATACTCTTAGTGGTTCCTGAAGGGACGACACCACAACTCAACACGAGGAATCTTCAGGCTGCCCTGGGACAATCCACCTCTAACTCATACAAAGCTATGCATTGAAAAAAAAATCATTTTCCTCTAAAGATTTGAATCAATTTTAATAAGCACAAAACCAGACATCAAGTAATTTAATGCAACTGCAATAATGATTGTTTATCCAGACAAAGATTCCCAGCCCCCCCATCAGCAGGGCAGGGAAAGAAGGTGGAACTAATACACAGGGTCTTTGGGCTCAGTGAAGGATCTCTATTATCTTGAAAGTCTAAGAACCTGCCCAGTGAAGCAGGATAGGAACTCTCACTGTTTTCACGCAGCACAGTCCACGAGATTCCCTGCTAGAGTCTAGAAAGCAAGCGCTGACAAGAGGGTTCCTGCTCTCACAGGGCTTTGCTCACTGAAGGAAAAAGAACATCACAGAAAGCCTGCCAATGTAAAATGCCTTTCAGAACTCCTGGATTGAGATTTCCTTTGCTTGCTTTGCATTGACTTTGGCAGCCTAGGAAGATGAGATGGAGACAGCAACAGAACGGAGGGAGGGAGAGTGGTCCTCGGTGGAGCAAGAGATGGGAGGGAAGAGGAGTCGGGCAGTGCTGTGGAAAGCGCACCAGATCAGGTATCCAAAGATGTACGCTCCAGCCCAGGCCCCACGCGCCTGGAGCTGCTCTGAGGTTCTCCTGAGCTAATGCACCCAAGAGCCCTTGTAGAAGGTAAAGCCCTCTGCAGACAGCCACTCTCCTAACTCACAGGATTCGCTGAGAGCTCGTGAGCGTGCTGTGCAAATGTCAGGCATCAGTCTTAGAGACACAAAACGGCCAACTGTGTTTCATTTCGCAATTTATGGGATGGGCTGTACTGCAAGTCTGCCTGGCATTCTCTTGCCTGTGCTGTCCTAAGACCTTCCCTCGATGTCTGTCCCCGAAAGCATCTGCAGGGACAGGTAAAAACCTGACAGCAGGACACCCCAGTCAGACTGTGAGGCCCGGCCAGGAAGAGCTTGGCTCCAGAAGGCTTTAAAAAGACGTCTGCAGACACGCTTTTCACAAGCCTAGGCCTGGGCAGGCCCCACAATCTGGGCTCTTGAGTGTGTTTCTAGGACATCTAGGGGAGGACTGGGAAGATGTGGAAAAGGCAGTAACTTTCTCCAGTCTGATCCAGCTGTCTCTGCCCCTTGTCTGAGTAGGTCACAAGCCAGTGAAGGTCCTAACTCAATTCTATTGACAAAAACAGAAAACTGCAGGCAGTGACAAAAATCTGGGTCTTTACCTTAAAATGTTACGACTTGGGGTGATCCTTCTGGACCCTAAATGACAAGGTCTGTATTCCTACAGTCTCTACCTAAAGGAGAGATGTGCTCTACTTACTGGCAAATAATTAATCTTCAGAAGAAAACAGTAATCAGAGAGGTTTGAGTGATTACATTTAGCAGATACCTACATCCCTGCCAGCCTCCCTTCTTCTCTTTGACTCTAAAGAAGACCCGTATCCTGGAGATTTGGGTATGACTGCTCACTGGGGCTAACCAGACCCTGCGTGAACTCATCTTACTGTTCTAGGAAAGAAATCGGCTCATAAACATTGTTAACTGCTCTTTTCCACTCCTGTACTGTTCTTTAAAACTGAAGCCTATCTACTATGATCCCCCTCCTGAAAGATTCTTTTATTTTATTGTTAATTATCCTTACACAAATGTTTCCTCACACTTTCACGTAATGGTGAGGGGCTCTGCAGCTTGGATTGAATCCTTCTCCTCACTTATTAGCCTGAGTCCCATCTTCAAAATGGGGCCAATACCATCCACCTCACATGGTTGTCCTAAGGAGTAAGTGAAGTAACACACAGAATCACTCAGCATACAGCGTGCTATACGGTAGGTGCGCAATATGTTTTGTTCTCTTTCCTTCAAATTGCTTTAAATCCTTTTGGGAAAAAGGCAAAATTTAAATAAGCAAACAGTCCTTTATTTCATCATAATTCAAAAAAAAATTTAAATGCACAAGAAAAAAATTTTGGTCTGTTTACTGTTACATCAAAAGTAAAGGGATAAACCAAGAGTGTTTGCTTTGAAAGCACGTATAAGCTAGGATTAAACAAGATCCTTGGAACACAGATGGGACGGAACCTTAAAGACAGGTTCTCCTGCCTAAAACATTAGCCATGCTGCTACTTACCAGTCACAGGCCTGTCCCCTCCCTCTGAGAAGAGATAACTTGAGGCAAACCCAGTTAGGACAGGCACACCCCATTTTACTCCGTTTCACCTTTATTATGCTTCATAGACAATGTTTTTTGTTTTGTTTTGTTTACAAATTAAAGGTTCACAGCAAACCTGCATCAAGCAAGTATTCCCAATAGCATTTGCTCACTTCATTTCTGTGTCTCACACTTTGGTAATTCATGCAACATTTCAAAACTTTTCTTTATTATTATGTCTACTATGGTGATCTGTGATCAGTGATCTTTGATGTTACTATTGTAATTGTTCTGGGGTGCCATAAACTGTGCCTATATAAGACGGCAGACTTAAATTAGTAAATGTTCTGTGTGTTCTGACTGCTCCACCAACTGTTCCCCATCTCTCTCCCTCTTCTTGGGCTATCCTGTTTCCTGAGATACAACAATATTGAAATTTGGCAAACGAATAACTGTACAATGGGCCCTGAGTGCTGAAGTGAAAGGAAGAGTTGCATGTTTTTTCCTTTAAATAAAAAAACTAGAAATGATTGAACTTGGTGAGGAGAGCACGTTGAAAGATGACAGGCTGAAAGCTAGGCCTTGTGTGCCAAGTTGTGAATGCAAAAAAAAAGTTCTTGAAGGAAACTGACAGTGCTATTCCAGGGAATACACAAATGATAAGGAAGTGGAGAAAGCTTCAGTGGTCTGGATGAAAGATCAAACCCACCACAGCAATCCTTTGAGCCAAAGTCTAATCCAGAGTCAGGCCCTAACCCCCTTCAATTCTATGAAGGCTGAGAGGTGAGGAAGCTGCAGAGGAAAAGTATGAAGCTGGCAGAGGTTGGTTCAGGAGGTTTAAGGAAGCCAACTCCATAACCATAAAAGTGCACGATGAAGCAGGAGGTCCTGATGTAGCAGGACTGGATAACTGCAGCAAGTTATACAGAGATGTAGCTAAGATAACTCATGAAGGTGGTGACACTAAACAGCAGATTAGACAAAACAGCCTTCTACTGTTAGAAGATGCCATGTAGGACTTTCATAGTTAAAGAGGAGAACTCAGTGCCTGGCTTCAAAGCTTCAAAGGACAGGCCGACTCTCGTTAGGGGCTAATGCAGCTGGTGACTTTAAGTTGAAGCCATTGCTCATTTCCCATTCCAAACATTTCTAGGGCCCCTAAGAATTATGCTCAGTCTACTCTGCCTGTGCTCTATAAATGGAACAACAAAGCCTGGATGACAGCACGTCTACTGACACCATGGTTTACTGAGTATTTTAAGCCCACTGTTGAGACCTACTGCTCAGAAAAACAGATTTCTTTCAAAACATTACTGCTCACTGACAAGGCACCTGGCCACCCAGCAGCCCTGATGGAGACAGACAATGAGATTCATGTTATTTTCATGTTGCTCACACAGCATCTATTCTGCAGCCCAGGGATCGAAGAGTCATTCTGACTCTCAAGTCTTATTATTTCAGAAACACATTTTGTTAGGCTACAGCTGGCATAGATAGCGACTCCTCTGATGTATCTGGGCAAAGTAAACTGAAAACTTTCTGGAAAGGATTCACCATTTCAGATGCCATGAAGAATATTCATAATCCATGGGAAGAGGTCAAAATACCAACATTAGCAGGAATGTGAAAGAAGTTAATTTCAACTTTGAGGGGTTCAACGCTTCAGTGGAGGAAGTAACTAAAGATGTGGCAGAAACAGGAAGAGAACTAGAATTAGACATGGAGCCTGAAGATGTGACTGAATTGTCGCCATCTCATGACAAAACTTCCACGGGTGAGGAGCTGCTTTCTGTGCATGAGCAAAGAATGTGTTTTCTTGAGATGGAACCCACTCCTGGTGAAGATGCTGTGAAGACAACTAAGGATTTGGAATATTCCATACAAAGCAGCAGCAGGGGTTGAGAGAACTGACTCCAATTTTGAAAGAAGATCTACTGTGGGTAAAGTGCTATCATACAGCGTTGCACATTACAGAGAAACTGCTCTTCAAAGGAAGTCAGTTGATGCCTCGAACCTGACTTATTTTAAGAAACTTGCCACAGTCACCCTAACCTTCAGCCACCACCTTCCTGATCAGTCAGTAGCCATCAACATGGGGGGAAGACCCTCCACCAGCAAAAAGATTATGCTTTGCTGAAAACTCAGATGATGGTTAGCATTTTTCAGCAATATTTTTAAACTAAGGTACATACTTTTTTGTTTTAGACATAATGCTACTGCACTTTAATAGACTACAGTACAGTGTAAATGTAACTTTAATATGCACTGGAAGACCAAAAAATTCATGTGACTCACTTTACTGAGATATTCATTTTATTGCAATGGTCTGGAACTAAACTACAATATCTCTGAGAAAGACCCGTATGCCCAAGAGGTCCTTTGAAAGTATAATACGAAAGGCTAAAGAAATGGAAATACGTTCACTGACATTTTGCCTTCTAAAATATCACGATTGTGTTAAAATATTTAAAATATTCTTGCCATTTAAATTTTTTCTTCCTTTGTTAGATTCAACATAGATTTGGTTACGATTCTATTCTATGATTCTTCGTTAGATTTGAGTAGCAAGAGAAGTAGCTCAAAGGTTATTACAATAGAATAAAGTGTACAGAGAATAAGGTGTAGAAAAGAGGAAGACAGCAGAAATAAAAAGAGAGACCAAACTGTAGTGGGAAGTCAGTGGAGGCTAAGACATAAATATCTTCTGCTCCCGAACTGTGTAGACTTTGTGGTTACGATCAAGGTATAAAAATGCAATTGAGCCTAAATCTAAACATAAAAATGTAAAATAAAGCTATAAAAATTGTAACAACTCACTTTATTTTTAGTTTAAGAGATTCCTATGGGCATGTACCACAGTGCTGGACCGTTGACAGCCCTGCCTCCACAGGTGGACGACCTGTGTTCTATACCCCCTAGAAATGTATCATCTGGGACTAGTCGCATCAGTTCATCCTGAAAATGGGAAATGATTTTCTACCTAAAGGCAAGGAGCTGGATCATTTTTTGAACAGTCCAGCTTTCTGATGGTAATAAAAGAGGGGCCTTGAGGGGTACAAAGACATACGGCCTCTTTATTTGTACTTGGGCCATAATGTATTAGCCTAAAGGATGTGAGAGGAATTTATCCAAGAGTTGAGAAGAGCAAGAGGCCAAATACATGTTTTGAGTCTAGAATTAAATATCTGGCCACAAGGATAACGTTGGTTAACCTCCAACATGAAGCGAGGCTTTTTAACCTTAGGGGTTTTTACCCAGGGGTGGTTAATGGCCTGAATAAAGCAAGTCAATCTATATGCCACACTTTAAAACAGAATATCACAAACTAATCTGAAGATCAAACCTGACACCCACCCGGATGAGGGCAGCAGCTTCCTCTGGCAGCCAGAGTTAAACTAGCATCTAATTACTACAAAGAACATGGCCAATGTCAGTCACAGAGTGAGAGGAGCCATTATTTAATGAAAAATAACAGGATAATATATTTTATAAATATAGCCTGACCTAAGGTGTAAATATGGATACTTCAGAACATTTAATTCAAAAGTCATTTACTATGGTTTTAGTTTTGTAATTAATATTCTCTTTCAAGATACTCCCAGCTCTGCATCTAGATGGCTTCCTTCTGGCCTGGCCCAAGGCTCCCTTGCAGATGATGAGATGATGAAGAATGGGACCCACATCTACTGGACCAGAGGAATCTGAAGAGTATCAGGTTTCCAATGCAGACTAAGTCATGGCCCAGAGTAGAAGGAACCCCAAGATGCCATTCTGGCTGTGGGTCATGGTTTAGAGTCTCTGTCTCTCACTGTGAGCCCTGTCCCTGAATGAGAGGATCTCCTTATACATGTTTATACTCCCAGTTCCTAACGCTTGGTAGAAAAGATGCTCAAAGAGGTGTGTTGAATTTAATTAAGCTGTCAATTTCTCTTCCCTCGATTTGAATACAGACACTGAAACTCAGAATCAGTGGGTGCCAGGGATTCTGGGTAACAGATGACTGACTTACGGGGATAGTTACTGGAACCTGGCATTAGAATTTATTCCAGTCCCTTGGGGGAATCAGGTGGCACAGCCATTTACTCCTTCACTAAATTACACAGGATTAGTGGACAAAAACTTCTTCAAGGAGGAAGGCAGGCAGGGGATGGAGTTCATTCATTCCACAAATATCTACTGAGCATCAGTTATGTGTTCCAAACAATTCAAGGTGCTGGGCAAAGATAGATGAAAAAAGCACAGACCTTGACCTTAGAGAATTTAGCATGTATTTAAAAAAATAGCAGGGACTTCTGCATACTGGGAATTTATAGCAAAAACTGAGAATATGAGTATAAACTATATGATCAAAATTGAAGCTTCTTTCAACAGAATTAAGAAAATCAAGGGGAAAACTCATCAATATTTCACCTTTAATTTGGCATAAGGTAACGTAACATTTGGAGCTTTTTAAAGTACACTTTCATAAATTTACAAATGAAAGAACTCAGATCTAAGTGATTAAATTACCCACAAGATCATATTATTAGTTTCAAGCATGTAGTACTCACACACAGGTCTTTTGATCCCCAAACCACTTAATTATTTGTGTGAAAAAGTTTGGTCAAAAGCTGTGGTTCTCAATGTGAGAAACCCAGATGAGCAGCACCAGCACCTGAGAACTTATGAGAAATGCAGATTATCAAGCCCAGCCCTGACCTATGATCAGTAACTCTGGGTGGCCCCAGCAATCTGTGTTTAACAAGCCCTTCAGGGGCTTAAGGTGCATGGTAAGTCCGAGGACCAGTACCTAAGGCAAAGGAGGTAAATCTGAGGGTCAGGTAGAGAGGATCTGACTTTTCCAGTGCTGACCAAATTTAACGGAGGAAGTGTCTAGGACTGTTATGTTTTATGCCTGTGCCAAATTAACTGGAAAAAAATGCTGTAAACCTGTAACTCACCTCATCTGTATAGTCTGTAAAGCCTCATCTGTATAGTTTGCAAGAGTCCCTCACATTGTAGTAAACCTTGCTGTGCCCTTGAAATGACTGTCTACTGCAATATAGTATACACAAAGAGCACAAAAGGGGTACAGCTGGAAGAGAGAGGGGGAAAGATTATGAATCACAGGTGTTCTGTCTGAGGAGAACTTTCCTTCCTCCCTCCAACCCTGCCCACCTCTCACAGCAGAAAGTTACCCAAGACAAATGGCCACAAATCCTAACTGCTCTGCTGTCACGCATGTCCCATCAACACGCCTCCCATGGCATGTCCCACAACCTTTCTGAAGTGGCTTTCTGGATCAAGGCCCATGGGGCAGCTTGGAAGAGAAGTTGGAAAGATGAGGGACTCCGCTAGCTTTCCTTGTGGCTTCTGAGTGAGGCTGCCCTGGGTGTCACCTGCAGAGTGTGGAAAGAAAAAAAGCAACAGTTCTAAGCTTGGCCTCTGAGGCACACAGCCTGGAAGAGGCACTGCTCCCCAAGACCAAGGCAGACAGGGTTATCAAAGCGCCTAGGAGACAAGAATACCCAACGCCCAGAAAAACAGAAATCGGGCCGACACTTTTCTGAGAAAATGCAGCAGATCCATGCCATACAAACTAACAAACTTTGGTCGAACCAGATGAGAACCAGGACCCGCACACTCCAGCTGAGGGTAGTGGTGGTGTCCAGAAGTGCCAGAACTGGCTGTTAGGCGTGGGGGGAGGGAAGTTGCAAGAGGAGGCACAGTCAGTGGCTAAGAAGCTCGGGGCGGTCACAGCGGTTGCTGAAAAGCCACGGGCCAGATGATCTTCAAGGCCTAGTGTGATCACAGGTGATAAAATCACGAGTGTATCTGTTCGTGTCGGAGCGGAAGCAATGGGAGGTACGGACGAACAGTGTTTCTGCAGGCCTCAGGAGGGGGCGGAGGGCGGTGGCTGGAAAGAAAGAAGCCCAGAGTGCCATCCACGTCCCCGGACGTTCTGGCTTCGGCCACCAGGAGACACGGGGACCACTAGCCTCGGCCCCCTCAGTACGCTGCCGCCACCCCTTCCCCAGGACAGAACGATGTCCCCAGGCTCTGGGGGGGGCGGGGTCTCCGACCCCTCCCCCTCCTCCCCGCTCAGCCCGGCCCAGCCCGCTCCGGTCCGGCCCGGCCCAGCCCCCAGCACTCACGGCTCCGACAGCTCCGGCGGCTCCTCCCCTGCCCCGGCTTCTCCCCCACCCACTCCCGGCCGAAGCAGCGCCGCCGGATCCGAGCCGCGCGGGGCCTGGCGGGTCGGAACACGTGGGGCCTTTGCGCCCGGAACCGGAAGCTACCCTCGGCCCCGCCTCCTCGGCGCGCTGGAGCCTTTCTAGGCTGCGGGAGGTTTGCTTGTCTCTCTGTGCCCAGGGCTCCTGGATGCATCCTGCGCGCCGCTGGGGACCTACCGCGAAGACCAGAGCGCTTCCGCCCACACACCCGCCTGTCTCTGCAGGGGGGCCCCCTCGGTTTACACACTGACCCTCTGCAGAGGGGATTTTTTTTGTTTTTGTTTTTCTGTTTTAGGTCTTTTTTGGTTTTGATTTTGGTGCCTATACCTTGGCTTGTTTTTCTTGATTTTTTTCCCCTTTGCTTTTTCTGCCACACTTGAAAAGAGCAATTGGGGATTGAATACTGGTTCTTGTAGTCACCTTCAGTTGTATGGCTCTGCACAAATCCTTCCACCTTTGACCTCAGTGTGAATCTTCTGAAACGGAAGTCCTAGAGTAAGGCAGCAGGACCCTCTGGGGCTTTCCGGGGTCAGATCCCCTTCCCTATATCCTCTGCAGTAGCTCCTCTCTAATGCACCGGGATAATAGCATCTCATGTACTTCCTGAGTTTTTCAGATGCTTAAAACCACAGCCAAGTGGAAGAAACGAACTACTTAATGATGGAGAGCATTTGGCCCCAGACTTCATGGCACATAGGAGTTGATAGTGTTGACCGCCTTGTTACCGCAACAGCCACCCAGTCAGACAATTGTGCAGGAGCTGATCACCTGCCGTCCGGACCCCTATTTCCCTTACCTGCCCTATTAAATATGCTTTGCTGAAACCCTTCTGGGAGTTCAGGGTTTTCTTGGGCATGAGCCACATGGTCCTATTTGCTCAGCCCTGCTATGAACCTTTCTCTGCTCCAAACTCCGACCTTGCAGTTTGTTTGGCCTCATGATGTGGCGGGCACACGAATTTGCCTTCAGCAACAATTTTGGCGAAGCTAGTGCAGGACTCTGTGCCCATGGCAGGGGACACCAGTTGGGGGCAGACCCTTCCCTGCGTCCCAGCAGCTGCTGGAGCTCACTTCGCTCTGGGGAACCAGGAGGGACTCTACCTGACGGGCACAGCCGCCCGACGGCAGGAGGCTGTTTAGAGCCGAGAAACGTCTGGAGCTGCGGTCCGCATTTGGAGTCACCTGGGGGTGAGTGGCTCCAGCTTGCGCGGGCTGGGAATTCTCTCCACTCCGCCTGGGCTCATTCACGCTGGGAAGTGAGCAGCTCTGGGACCTTTCTCTCTTCAGGAGCTGAGCCCATCTGTTTGGAGGCCTCTGTTTGGGAGTGAAAATGGAATTTTTAGACTACACCTCCTCTGATTGTCTGTGCGACCGTAGCTTATTTGTTGTTTGTGTTTCGTGTGTATCATTTTGGGGTGAGCCACTCCGGTTGTGCAGGATGGGAAAATTCTACCCACTCCTTCCGGGCTCCTTCTCTTGCAGGGAGTGCGCCGTTCTGGGCTCATTGCGAGCCGCTCTAGCCTGTTCTCTTGAGAGTTGCTGGGCCAATCTGTTTGGAGGCCTCCCTCTGGGGGTCGAAGTGGAATTTTGGGGCTAACCTTGTCTAATCATTTGTTTGTGGGACCATGTTTTTGTTTGAATATGTGTGTCAGAACGTGCATGGGTCGGTTGAGAAGTCTTTGAGTGGCGGGGCTCACGTGTGACGACACCAGGGTATCGTTCCCTGTTGTACTGGCCTCCCCTGCAGCGGAGCGTCGGTGGGGATTTCCCCTTTCTAGCCTTGGTCCTTCGTTCAGCTTCACCTCTGATGGGGCACTGGTTGCGGGTCTCCCCTTTCGGATTGACAGGGCATTGGTTAGGGATCTCTCTTTTGGGGCCAGGGAACTGTGATCCTGAGAGACTGTTCTGAATTGTTGTTTGCTTGATATTTGATAACATTAGCTGTAAGTAATTAAATATGGACGAATCAGAGCTTTATTCCATCTTGTATGTAGTCCTCCTGGAGTATCTTTTGCAAAACAGGGAGATCTTCAGCTTTGCTCCCATAGATGAGAGATGTAACGCTGTGTGGCCTCAGGACTTCCTGTGATCTGGAGAACAATGGCCTTTATGGTTCTGCTGTTATATCAGAGTGAGCCTTTTGCAGTTTGGCTTTTATCTTGCGGGGGGTGTGTGTGTGTTTGTGTGTTGTGTCTTGGTACCTGATCTTCCTAGTTTTGCTAAAAGTGAGGCGTGTGAATGCGAGCAGATGATATATATATTATTGTTGATTGCTGTTACTTCTTTAAACTAAAGTGGATATTTGGGAATTGAAAAAAAAAATCCCTGAAAATAGCCAAGATGATTGGGTTTTCTATGAACCTTTAGAAGAGGAATTTGTGTTTCTCCTTCTGTGCCGTTGAGATGTAAATGATCTACCTGGGCTGTAAAGGAAAAAGTTTTTTTTCAAACTCAGGCAGAAAAACAGATCACTGGTTCTGTCTGTCTGCGTAAAATTAACATGTAAAAGAGTTCTATTTAATTGACCTAAAAGTAAGCACTTACAAATTAAATATTTCGAGGTATAAAAG